ATTTCCAAGTATTGGCCTCGTTGCTCATCATAATTCCATGACCCAATAAAGTGTGTTGGAATGGAAAATTGGTTACTTTTTGCTTTACAGTCTGTTGAATACCAATGTTTACACCAATTGAACTCAAAATAATAGTAGGAGAACGTCTTTTCAACATCTGGTAAAGTTCGTGAACATGAGCCGCTTGAATTTACTGTGCATGTGAATGTGTCAATGTCACTGTCAGGCAGCAAAAAATTATTACGACGAAGCTTGATCGTAAGTAGATCATTGACATTAGCAAAGTTGGCACTAGTCCACTTGAGTATCAACGATTGTAATGGTGAGAACCGATCGCCAATACTTGGAAATGTTGGAAGTAAAAAAGGTCGAATTGGCACAAAGAAACTATTTGTGGCCTTTTTGCAATTCAACGAGAACCATGATGTACAGTCTAAACATGATAAATAAGAAGAAAACCTCAATAGCAAATTTATGATCAACTTACAGTCAAACTCAAAGTAGTAATATTCATCATTATCTGCACGATCTAAGGAAGAGGAAATCGTGTAGTTGTACGCATTGGCTGTAGCCAAAACTGTGAAAGTAGCTAACGTAGAATCTGGTATGATTGGACGTGCTCGACAAAAGCGTACAGTAATTTGTGATGTCGCTGCAAAATTCACACTTTGCCAGGATAGTGGCACTGTGTCACCTGGATAAAACACATCGTTGACAGTGGGTGGTGTTCCTGGAATGATAGATGGTAACGTTGGAATATAGAAAAGAGCACTTGTTTTCTGATACGGTATCAATGAATAGAAAAAGCGAAATTTAAAGTAGTATTGATCGCTCGATGATGTGTCCAAAGTAGCAGGGACCATAAAAGATGATCGGACAGCATTGATTTTCGTACTCAATCTACTTATTTCAGCGTCGAACAGAAGCCGTTTTCGATAAAGTACGATTTCAAGATTAGTTGTTCCGTCCATATTCGAATACGACCAAGTCACATCGATCGTTTGTCCGGGATAAAAGATTTCTCCATCATGAGGCTTTTGTGGATCGAAACTCCATTGACTAAATATAGATCTTGACTTGTGCAATGTCACTTCAGTTTCTTGTTTGGGTGGCGCTGATATTTGCGGTCTTTCATTACGATGTTCCAATGTTAAGTGCATCGAAATATCGGTAAAGCATAATAGTGGACTTATATTAGTATTCTTGACAGTTTCGATAATAATCTGTCTATTTTCGAGTCGAAACATTGATATCCGTTGAAAAATCACTGTTGGCTCACCTGTTGTTACATTACGACAACCCCACTCAGGGCCACCATTAACATATTTGGCATCTGATACAATCCATTTCTTATAAATGACGTGAGCATGATCACTGGAATGAAATGTTAGCACAAGCTGTTGCTGACTTTCAAATAGACACTGAACGAATTCAAGAGATGCGATAGGATCAAGAGCAATACATGCTGTTGGATGTAATTTAGCGTCAACATGGAATTTAATCTGACGAACATTAGTGGGTAAACGTTTTTCATGTATAATATCACTGTTAGTTATATCGATCGTATGTCGAAAGAGATCCGAATGTGCTGGAAGACCGGTAATTGAGTCAATTGCTTTTACTTTGGCACCAGTTGAATGAAAGATCGAATCAAACGAAGGACGAGCAATGATAACATGTGATGGAACGATAATCAATAAGCAAATGATACCTATAAGCATGATATAGAGCGAAAGTCAGAATTTGTTTCCAAATGGATAACGAATAATTGAAGAATGATGATTTTGATTTATCGTTCGTAATAATAAATGGAGGTGCAGATGATTGGGCACCTCACTGTATACTTATTTTGTCTTTGATAAGTTACTCGAGTATTCAAGCGATGAAATCGTTCATCTACAACGAAAAAACAAAGCAACATTCTCATACACTATTAGAAATAGAGTCTCTGTATTCTGATATCATTTTGTCATTTTGAAAGGTACAACTCTCAAAGAACGAATGCCAAATTCTGTCACAAGTGCCTTATGGCAACAGAATAAAATTTAGAACTCGAGCGTTTTTCGATGCAGTCGTTGAGATTCTTCGTAAGCGTGTCCATGGTGTCTTTATAGTTGGAAAAAAGGTGAGTGTACGAATCAAAATAAAACAAGCAGCCAACTCGACAAATTTTGATTTGAAGTAAACAGCAGATAAATTTTGTTCGTTTGGGAGGGTATTTTCCTCGCCAATTGTGGTATATAGATCATTATCTTAACGACAAACCAATGCTCAGAAAGCTTTAGTGAGACAGATTTTGGATAGAAACATTGCTTTCTCTTTTGAGAAAGAAGTTGTCCTACTGATTGACACTTTTGAGTAATAGAATTATTCAGAAATTCTGCAAGTGAAGCTTCTTATTGATGAGCAGAATGGAATTTGTCTACACTAATAAATAGAGAAGGGGGTGAAAGTATTGAAAATCTATATGATGATGAAGTTATGCTTTATGAAAGAATTCGTCTGTCTCGATCTGTGGCGAAATCATTTTGTGTTCAAATTTGATTAAAAAAAACAGTCGTAAACGGCTCGCTGCACCTTCAACAGAAGCTGAGAATGATACTCATCCATTTTGGAAATATGCAATGAACGTGAGAGTGAAAATATGGATATATACATATTATGGACAGTTCGTCACAAAAAAAGTGACTCAATCTCTATTAATATAGTGCTTTGAAAATTGTAAACGAACTAATCAAAACTGTTCATGTATGCAGCAGCTACGACAATTATTCAATAAGATTTATTTTCAATTAGCTCCCCTATTGAAATCACAAAAAAGTCTGTTAACGTCAGTGAGGTAACACTTCGACACTAAATGGAGATAGAGATGTCGTTTCTAGTCCAATTGGTTTTAGAATATCTGCCTCGATAGCGGAATGTGTGTATATACGCAACAAAAATATACGAAAATGAAGCGACTACCAGATTCCGAAAGCGGAACCGCCACTTGTCAGCACCTAGAAGACACAAATTTTATTTTTTTCAGAGAAAACGAAACGATAGAACAAACTATACTTTTCAAGATAAAATGTTTTCTAGCTCTGTGTGAAGCTTGTTTTGCTGACGTACAACAATCGGATTGAAAGTCCCGAGTAAAATATTTCATAGAAAAAAGTAGATAAATATCTTCGTAGACTTCTGCAAGATTACTATGTGTCAGCGAAAAACACTCGTAGAAAACTTGGAGACATTTCATTTTTTTTCAGGGAATCATTTGTTCGATCGTTCCATGACATCTGCATAAAATTATATTTGTTGGTACTAGGTTCTGAAAACTAGTGATGCAGCTTTCTAGTAATCAGAATATTTAGATGTATTGTTTTTGTGTATATTTTTCTCTATTCGAATCATTATTTACATTCTTTTCTATGACAAAGACAACGAAAAAAAAACAATCGAAAATAAACCTTTTTGAATAGTTTTGGTAGCCATGGCTCATATCAATATAATAAAAGTTAAAAATAAATCATATTCTAATAATATTAAGAATAACATTTTATGATGCTTACTGTTTAATCTGTCGGAAATATGCGTTTCAATCTCTTGATCACATCTAAGTTTCAAAGCTATATTAGGATTGAAATCATACATACTTAATGTATTACTAAATACGTAGAGTACTGAGGAATATTTTTCTGTTTTGATCAATAAATAAAAACAGGTTTCATTTTTGTCTATTTATATACGATCTTGCTGTTATTATGATTTAACAAATATGAGTAATAAAAATTTTTTGAAGCGTAACCAAAAATTACTCATTAAGTCAATGGAGGCGTTTAAACAAAATACATGTCTCGACATTTCTTTTTCTTTGATTTTGTCATGATTTGATGTACATATTTACACATACATATAACGATTTTATTTTAAAGATAAAGTTGGACTTTATTCCTTGTATTTCTATGACTGTAATGAGTAAATATGTTGTACATGTAAAAAAATATATGAATAATCATGACATGTCATGAGTAATTTTGTTACTTCGTCAAGCATGCAATATATTCCTTACATTTGCTCGTTTAATTATATTAAAAAAAATATTATATATTCATTAATTCATCGAATAAACTAAAAGCAAATATTTAATACGTTTAAATGTTAAATATTGATTTAAAAAAGATAATCACAAATTAAAACGAAAAACTGTTTTAACAATAACAAAAACAAAAATACTCACTAATAATAGATATTTAGTGAATATTATGGATTCAATATAATGATTTAAAATAGAAAAATAAATGAACATTTTCATTTTTAAATTTAAATAATTTCTAATAAAACAATAATTAATTCTAAAAGGGCGTGGATGTAGACTAAAGGAATACTTCGACCCATACCTACACCCACACCTTCAAGGCTGAATCTTTTTGATAAAAAAAATTATTTCGAAATTGAGAGAGATTGAGATATTGAAAAAATACTGAGACCGCCATTTATTGTGCCGCACCAATTATAAGTTAATTCAGAATCTATAAAATAACTTAGACGCTTTTTTCTGGAATTTCAGTAAAGCAGTTGAAGTCATAACTCATTCTTCTGAATGCTGAAAAATGATTAACTAAACATATTGTGTTGTAAACTATGAAAGTGAATCCACAATCATTCTGAATCACAATAAAGATATATTGCCACGAAATCAAGACATTTTACACAGCTTTTAGAAAGAAAATTACACACAAAAATGCAAAATTTGTTGAGTTCTAAGCATATTTATACGTTGTTTGCTTCTGTTTATTTGGAAAGTTGCTCAATTTTTAACTCTATATCCGATCGAGCTTGATGCCCATACGGTAAACATTGTTCATAAATAACTAACGCTCGTCTATAATAGTCAAGTGCCAGCTTACGTTGATGTAGATGATCATAACATTGACCGATGTTAGACAAACTTTCGCCAATATCTTGATGATTTGATGGAAGAACTTTTTCACGTAGTAAAAAACATTTCAATTCATATGCAAGAGACAGGTCATATTCACCTCGAATTTGATGCACTTCACCAAGAGCCAGAAGAGTGGAAATTATGGTTACTTCAGTGAAAGGACGATTAGCTTCTATAATTTTTAAACATTTTCCAAAATATTCTATTGAACGCTCATAAGATCGTTTTTGCTTCCAAATCATTCCTATATTTTCCAGACATACAACAATACTTATATACTTATCAGGGTGGAATTCTTCAAGTTTAGCTATTGTTCGATGATAATAATCGATAGCCTCATCAAATTTTCTTTGTTCACATTTAACATAGCCAATATCCATTAGACTATCGGGGATAACTTTATGTCGAAATGAAGAATATTTCTCGTGAATTTCCAATGCTTGTTGGCAAAAATTGATGGCTTCATCATATTTTTTTTGAAGAATTCGAATCTTTGCTATTTGATAGTAATTATTGGCAATATTTACATAATTAGATGAGTGAGGGGTTTTGAGAATATTCAATGCTCGTTGATGAAAATCAAATGCTTCATCATATTTTCCTTGCTTATATAGGATAATGCCAATATTTTTGAGAGTATTACTGATTTCTTTATGATCTGATGAATGATGATTTTGTTGTATTGTTAATGATCGTTGACAAACAAGAAGAGCATCATCATACTTTTTTTGAACTCTCAAAATGTAGCTAATGTTATCAAGAATGGAAATCATGTCGATGTGATCAGATAAATAATATTGTTCTTGCATTTTTAGTGCTTGATCATATAGATCAAGTGCTTCATTGTTTTTTCTTTGTTTATAATAAATATTGCCAATGTAGTTGATTGTCATAGCAATATGTGCATAATACGATGGATAATATGTCTTTAGCATAGTAAGAGCTTGTTGATGAAAACGAAGAGCTTTATCATAATTTTCTTTCCCGTTTAGTTGAGTGTCACCAATATTATTCAAAATATCAACAATGTCTAAGTGACCCGAAGAATAATATTTCATCTCTATTGCTAGTACCTGCTGATGTAACTCCAGAGATTCATCGTACTTTTCCTGATCATATTTAATATTTCCTATATTGATCAAACTCGTAGTTATATCGATATGATCAAAAGAATGATATTTATTTTGCATTGTTAATGCCTGTTGAGCAATATCAAGAGCTTCATCGTATTTGTCTTGTCGATAGAAAATATGACTGATATTGTTTAGAGTAGAAGCAATGTATACATGACCTGATGGATAACATTTATTGTATATTGACATTGCTCGTTGATAGTAGTCAAGTGCTTCATCATACTTTCTGCGATTCATGAAAATATAACCAAGATTATTTAGACTTGTAGCAATATTGACATGAAAGGAGTTATAATATTCTTCTCGAATTGCTAATGCTTGTTTAAAACAAACGAAAGCTTCATCGTATTTTTTTTGTCGATAGTAAACAAAACCAATGTTTTTTAGACTAGTGGCAATATATGCATGATTAGAGGGGTAATATTTCTTTCGAATTGTCAATGCTTGATGATGAAAGTCGTAGGCCTCTTCGTATTTGCCCAGTAAATACAATATTTCACCGATATCAGAGAGTACGATAGCCGAGTCTTTGCTACGAGCTGGTTCACTCTGCATCATTCGTTGATAAGCATGATCATAATATATGCGTGCTTCATTCAATTCTCCTTTCCAATAGTAAGCTTGACCAATCGAATGTTGTATCCATGCTAAATCTTCATTATGTTGATCATTGAATAAATGTTGAAAGTATATTTGTGATTGATTCCATTGACTCATATCGCAAATTAGTTTACCAAATATAATTGGAACACTTAGATCTTCGATTTGACGATGCGTATCATCAATATATTTTTGTGTAATGGTTCGTCCATCATTGACTGCATTTAATTTAATAATCCACATTTGTTGATCCTTTTCAATAGCTTCCAACCTAAAAGTTGCGTTTAAATTAAAGAGAATCGTATCTTGGCACTTTAATTCATTAGATTGAGTGATTTGAGCAAATATAATGCTGTCACCAACTTCTTTTACATTACATTCAATTTCAAACAGCGCAGAAATAAAATCAGTTTGTCGTGTAGATGATGTCAAAAAAGCTAGTGCTGATGATCGTTGAGTATTTGCCATCAAAAATCCTTTCATTGACATAATTTTACCTTGATTTTCTTGCAATTGATTAAATTCATCGTTCGATAATTTCATTCCTCGATAAACAATTAAATCTTCTCGATCAGACTGAATAATTTGGTGATGTTCATGTCTGAGATTTTGCACTAAATCACTAAGGAAATATCTTAATGTATAAAGTTCATTAGTGTCTTCCGTTCGCAATGCTTTGTTAATCATCTTTCGAAGAAATGAATGTTTCATAAACCAACGAATAGCTTCATTTGGTTGATATTCTTCTTCCAATTCGTCCATCAATGTGAGTTCTTTAACATTGCTGCCACAATAATGATGACATGGATGAATTTTCTGCCTTTTGACTTGTTGATTGATTGGTAATTGTAAGAGAAAATCATGAAAAAGATGAAGCCATAGAAAATCACTTGATTGTTTTGATAAATCTTTGATCGCGTATTCTTCATGATCAAAAAAACTCCATGTATGGAATCGTTTTTCAATAAGATTGATTTGTTCTTGAATTGATAAACACAATAAACCAAGTTCATCATAAATACCAACTATTTTTGAATCTTTAAAAGATAAATGGTTATATTGATCATTGTTCAAGCAAAATATAAAGATACTGATGATTTGATCCAGATTAGTAATATGATGTAGGAATTGAAGAGCAGATGCAGCTGAAACGATTAAGAAGATTTTTTCTTTTTCAATTGATCGAATAAAATTAATACATGATTCTAATACAGTATGAGATACAATATTATCAATGATTTGGTGTAATCGTCGTCCGAAACCTTCCGTTTTTTTATATAATTCATTATTTGGATTAAAACAAAGAACAATTATTTTTGGTTCGTTTTTAGTTGTGTGGATCATTTCATATTGTTGTTCATTGTCAGTAGATTTAATTTCGCTCACTGATGATACGTCCATGATGATTAAAATTAGACTTAAATATCCACTATCCAATGTTGAGAAAGAGTCGAAGTGAGAAATATTTTCTTTATGCAAATAAAAACGTCAGCATAGTGTGTGACATGGATTTAGAAATTGCATCTTTCCAGCAACACACGTTTTTTATGTTTATCGGAGAATACGTCATTTATTTCACAATATGCTTGTAATGCGTAATAAATGTACGCCATACATTTCATTGCTGGAGTTGTGTTCTTTTGCAACCATGTTGTTTTGTATTTTATTTATTTTCACCATTCACGTCTGTTGTTGCTTCTTTATGACGAATTACCTATCATACGTTTCAGGTCGTGTGTAGTGAGCATAAGTCAAGTTCATGAGCCCATATTATACCCTTTTTCTATGTATAATACAGAAAACTACCAGTAGCTGTCCTTAGTTGTGGGGTATGGGTGTAGCTGCATGTGAGGGTGTGGGTGTGTGGGTGTAGCTGCATGTGAGGGTGTGGGTGTGTGGGTGTGGGGCGTGGGTGTGAGTGTGGGTGTGGGTGTGGGTGTTGGTATGGCTGCGTGTGGGTGTAGGTGTCGGTCTTCTCTTCATTCACTTACCCACACACCCACACCCACATACCCATACCCGCCCACACCCACACCCACATATCCACACCCACACACACCCACACCCACATACCCACACCCACCCACACCCGCATACCCACACCCACACCCGCATACCCACACCCACACCCACACCCACACCCCGATCTATACAAGATCGACCTCGTTAGCTTATTCTGTTCAGAAGTAATGAGCGTTTTTTCAAGGGCTTCGAAATTGATCAAATAGCTTTAAGACAAGTTAGAATACATCCAAGTAGGAGTAATTGTTCACGCTGAGATCAGTGGTAATATTTGTTTGAAGTTTTAAAACAATTGGAAGTGAATAAATCGTGATCGCTGAGATAACGCTTCTACGCGATGCATTACGGCAAGTTATGAAATCTTGAAATCCAGATTTATTCACTTCGAATCGTTGTGAAACTCCAAATAAACATTACTACTGATCTGTGCGTGGGCGATTACTCCTAATTGTATGTATTCAAACTTTCCTGAAGAGGGTGTGGGTGTGGGTGTGGGTGTGGGTGGGTGTGGGTGTGGGGTAGTGTCCTGCGGGAACGACTTTTTCCCCTAATTTTCCTATTCCCATTCCCGTGGGAAGGGGAATGGGAATTCCCATTTAGACTTAGGGAATGGGAACATGGGAATGGGAACAAAGGTAAAACTTGATGTTCCCTAAATTTATTCTATCTTATTTTAATACAATAAGAATATTTCTATGTAATAGCTGTTTATTTTTGATAACTATTGTTATTCATATAACATTAACAGAAGAATAACGAATTTCTATCAACAAAACATAGACAGATTCATTTATTGTTTACTAAATCGTAATTCAATCATTACAACTATTATTTTCTTTTTCTTCATCAACTCCGAATGTGATATTGTCAAGATCATCTTGTGATACATCATTATCATCATCTTCTTTTTTTGAATACATTCGTTTTCTCATTGGTGTAGTTGATGTGCTATTATTTTTTCGGTTTTTCATTTGTTCAATTGATGATGGAGATAACTATTATTTGTTAAAGATATTTCATTTATTTAATATAAACAGAATTGAGCAGAACTGATTTTTTTTAATACTTGTAAAAAGACAAATCTCAGTAGTATGTTTAGCCAAATGTTTCTCCAATCATCATAGTACTTTTAATTTATTTAACAGTACGTAGCGAGCAGCTGATATATGGCAACAACACTTTCTCTCATAAATGTATAGAGCTTTAGAAAACCTTAGGGAATGGGAACATGGGAATGGGAATAACATTTTTTTTAGGGAATGGGAATACGGGAATGGGAAGATTTTTTTTTTCTTCGGGAATGGGAATAGGAAATGGGAACCAAAAAATGTTGTTCTCGCAGGACTCTAGTGTGGGGTGTGGGTGTGGGTGGATGTGGATGGAGACAACATCTAGAATGACACCCACACCCACACCCAGCATCGTATTTTTATTTTAAGCACAAACTAGATTATGATAATATGACGTAAGAAAAGGAATTTCTTTTTCAATTTTTCTTTTATAGTGAAAGTGTTCAATGCTTATACATATCAAATACTGTTTTTTTTTGTTATCATTAAATGAAAATGTAAATTCTTATGGTTAGTAGCTTGAATGAAATTTTGTCTGAAATATTGAAGGAATATTTTCAAAGCTTTGTTCAACTTGAGAGCAGATACGTTAGACTTAGGTATTTTATAGATTGAAAAAAAAAGTTTATTTTAACTGTTTCTTTTTGTAAAAATAATTACTTTTTCTAAATTTTTATGCTTAATTTGCTATCTTCAAAATTGTATACCTTACATACTTAAAAATATACTTAGAAATCATATGAACAGTCAATGAATTTAGACACATTTTAACAATTAATTAGTCCAAGAGAAATTTTCTGCTGAATAGTTCATTCATTTTTTGAATATCATTGAAAATAATTTTTCTTTAGATTTGTATGTCATATCATAGAAGAATGTTATTAATACTATTTAAATGAATATTTATCCATATTCGATATCTAAGCATCCAAATAGAGTAAATCTATCTTGTATGATAATCATACAATTCACAAGATTGAACCAATTTAAAAAAAAGGATGATACAAATGTGATTGTCAATGTTAATACCTATATTCATATGCCAATAGACAAAGATAGAACTTGGCATTTACTATTGTTCAATATATAAGATTATAACGAGTTTATCTTCAAATGAAAAATCGCTGTAATCTAAACCAATTTTCTTGATGAAGTTCTATATGCACTAAAATAGATTCTTTTCTTCCGTCGATAAAACTACGAAAACTATCTGAAAATTGTGGGTGTGGGGTGTGGGTGGGTGTGGGTGTGTGCATAGTTCTTCTCCTCACACGCAGAATGATATACACACCCACACCTACACCCACCACATCCACATGCCCACACCCACATACACCCATACCCACACCCACACCCACACACACCCACTCCCATACCCACACACCCACCCCGCCTACCCACACCCATATCCTTTTAATTCTTTTCAGGAAAAGATTTTGATGCGTGTTAATGATTTCCTTGGCATAATAATTATGTAAATTTAATTGCTTTGATGGAATGAGATTTTCGAAAAAATTGCATGAGTTTGAAAAACATGCATGAAAGTGTCAGTTTCATGCGGAATCGTTGCGAAATTTTTCACTTTCGACATGATGTCTCTGTGGAACATTTTTCATTAAAATGATGTAAATTACATCATGTTTCGCCATTTTTTTCCTATGGGCATTGTTCGTATTAAATAGAAATGACTTACATTAGTATCATTAATGATAATGCTATATTTGAATATTGTCTTGCTCTAGTTCATCGATAGACGACATAACAACGAGAAGGAAAGAAGAACAGAACATATTGAATCGCAAGTATGGGAGTGACTAAGAGCGTGATTGACGCGACGCGGGTTCAATTCCTTTGAGAGGATGTTCTTCTTCTTTTTTTTGCATGTAAAATGCATTGATGTTTGTCCAATTTTCTTTGCTTACCATCAGAGGTATCCTCTCAAGATCTTAATGGAGAAAGGGGTAAGTGACTACGCTGATTCCGAATATCTTATTTTTATCAACTAAGAGGGTGTGGAGTGTGAGGTGGGTGTGGGGTGTGAGATGAGTGTGGGTGTGGGTTGGCGGAGGATAAAAACCATCTACACCCACACCTCACACCCCACATCCACGCCCTTTGCGATTAAAAGAATTCGGTCTTCAAAGGGTTATGCTAAATATTTATCGTATTGACGATAGTATATATTCAATCAAGTGTATCAAAAATAAAATAAAACAAAACAAAAAATCAAGAATATTAAGGATTTGTGGGTATTTTGGAGTTTAAATATTATGTTTCATGACCATATTAAAGTGTTAATCAGGTAAATTAAAGAAAAATTAGATGAATAAAAAAAAAGAAAAATTAGACAAATCAAAATACAATAAAAATCAAGAGGTTAGAGAGGTATAATTATTTGGGGATATGAATAACGTCTTTCTTGACCAAGTCAATTCCTTAATCAAGGGAATAGGACCAAAAATAAAATGAAGAATTCAGAAAGTATTATTATTTTCTCTGATGACCAAAGTCCGTTTGTCAAGCAAAACCCTTGAAACAATGATCTGCATCATGACCTGCCTATAAAAATACAATAATAAATAAAAATTAAACAAAACAAGGCGAAAAATTCATCAAATCTCACATCACCACAATTGGCACATGTACTTGATCCTGTGTGTGTTTGTCGAGAAAAACCCTTGTAACACTGTGATGCATCATGACCTGCCTATAAAAACACAATAATAAATAAAAATTAAACAAAACAAGGCAATGAATTCATCAAATCTTACATCACCACAATTGTCACATATACTTGACGCTGAACTCATTCTTGATGTAAGGCTTTTTCTGGTGTTATTTTTGTTTTATTTTATTTTCTTCTATTACTTCGCCCACTTGTCTGTCGCCTCTACTTGTGTCACAAATCTGTAACGAAGAAGAAAAAGGCTTATAACTCGTTTATAAGAATTTTGTTCATTTAATCAATGTTCTAAAGAATCATATTTATTTCTTTAACTAAATTCATTGTTCATAATAGAAGATTCTAAAAACATACAATTGTATTACCATTGATAGATAGCAAAAAAGGAATACTTACAACGAATTTGTAATGAAGGTCATGCTATCAAATAGAAAATAGGTAATGTTTTTTAACTTACAGTCAGTGTTAAATGAAAAACATCATTTTAATCGAAATAATTTAACTAATCAGAAAAATCAGGTATATCAGGAGGCAATACAAAAGAATGAAATTTTGTCAAAAAAATCAATGTAATCAAAAGCTGTTCTTTTCTTTGTTAACTGGTGCATGAAGTTATTTAAATAGATTGTCCAAGTTTATGAAATGTATATTTTGGCTACAGTAGTTGTGCGTGATTTTCCAGGATGAATAGTCGTATTATGAGTAGATGCCTAATTCCAGTTCAATTATAAATGGAAATTTGAAAAAGGATAGAGCCGCTACTACTCAAGAAAAAATAATCTCTCCGTAATAATCAGAATCAGGTAACTACCTCCCTTAAACCTATCAGAAAACCAAATTTTCATCTAAATTGTATGATTCGAATTGAGATAACGCATCCTTGTAAATTCAGATAGAAAAATACGGAATATTGATGAATGTTAGGGTGGGTGTGGATGTCTTCGTCACATTCAAACAAAGACTCAAACACTGATGCAGAGAGTTCATCTGTTCAATATTTTTGCCTTCAGTGTGGCATGATGGGATGCCCTCTGTGTGTCAGTGTTCTTCCCACCACGCTCACCTGACTGGATATTGTCTCTGCGTGTCCGTGTCTATCAGTGTTCTTGCACTCACCTTCATATGAATAGATGCCCTATGTGTGTGTCAGTGTTCTCGACCACACCCACAAACGGCGAGATATCCTCGGTGTGTGATTTTGCGTCAATGTGCTCGCCCACACCCTCACCTGACAAAATGTTCTCGGCGTGTGTCAGCCTTCTGCCCTCTCCGCCACCTGATCCAATGCAGTGGATGTGGGTGTAACTGTAAAGGAGACATCAACACCTACACCCACACTCAGCCTCACACTCCCACCGCCTCTCACACCCTCGAAATATATGATTTCCATGAAACTTTTTGTTTTCGAGAATTTACAGGGATAGGGCATCTAAATTCAGGTCATATAATTCAGATGAAATGTTTTTTCTTCCATAATTTACAGGGATAACTCAGCTCAATGCGAATTGTATAATTCAGCTGAATTTTTTTTATACTGGAAGGAGTGCTGGTGAAAAAATTTTTGCGGTGATTTTCGAAGCGATGGTAAGCTCTCAACGCTTGATTTATATTCGAACGCGAATTACCCAACTCATGCGTATCATGGACATTGGACTCGCTTATCTATACAAAGAAGGTAAATGAGGTAGACAGTAGACATTCATTAAGCTGATTTCTAGCTCTTTTTTTTCTATCTATAAAATCGAACAGGAAGTGCAATTCGGTTTTGATGATGCCTGATATCTGGCAACACCTCTTGATTTCAACATTTTATGTACGATTAGAAACCCATTATCACTTGACGAAATCATTTCGTTGTCAAGCTCTACGTCTAAAAGATAGCAACCATTCAATATTCCGATGAATAAAAGAGCTATTATATTCAATTCTTTAAATCAGATAGAGATTTAATAGAGCTACTATTCAGATTGTTTTCTCTATTCAAAGCTCGTCTTTTACATATGCGGGAAGTTTAATAGGACTAACAATAGTTACACAGCCTTTTCTGCTTATAATACACTGCTTACAAATAAGATACTAGGACACTATACTACTCTTACTTTTTATCACAATTTGCTTTGTTTATATCATCAGAAGGGTTCCAAGCTCATCTGCTTTTTCATAAACCAAATATAGAGTGTATTCCTGATAGTTTTCTAGTTTCACTGTAATTAATTTCACAAGTTTTAATTTCTTATGACTAGTCATAAGTAGTGAAAATGACTAATTCATGACTGGTACTGGCATTAAGCAATGAAAATTCTTGAGAGTCATTAGAGTAATAGAAATACAGGGATAACCAATATAAAGTAATAAATTCTGATATTTGGAAAGCGACTAAATGCAATAAGAAACTTGTGAGAAGAAACATGCCGTTTCGGTACAGTGTTGCAATAACATTTCAGACTGAATTAGGGCTGTTTGAGTTTTTCGACACCGCTACACTTATGAGGCAAAAACCCTCTAACGTGTGACTAACAGACCATAAGCATGAATGACTCTGGACTTTTTTTAGTCTCACTAAGCCATCCGTATAGGTGATATCTGAATCTTACAAATCAAGAAATAATTGAATGGGCTTCCTTGAGAATAACTGTACATCTTGTTCTATTCTGACGACACTTAGTTTCGATAAGTATAAAATACTGTCAAGATTAATATGATTTTAAGATGTATCCAACATTAAAAACTATATGCTTGGAGATGTGGGCATTTATACCGCTTTTAAATCTTCTCTTGCTCACACTGTAAAAAATAAGTGGAGAAGAATTAACCTTCATTATTCGTTTTATTGGAATTAGATAAACCCTTTTTTAGGTTTATTAGCGTAAGCTACCGTTGCATAAACCTGTTTCTTCACCAAGCTTGGTAAGAATTTGTGACATATTGGAATGTCATAAATTCTATTACTGATTTTTTTCTCAATAAAATATTTATGAATATATGAATGAAATAAATCCTCAGATACATATTTTATTATTGCATGTTTTAAATGAAATTGTATAATAGAAAACTTTTTCTCTAAGGGTTTATCTCATCCATATACCTAAAAATGATTTATTGAGAAAAAAAAGCAGCTAAAAGATTTATGGCTTTCCAATATATAACATACTCTTGCTAAGATTGATGAAGAAAAAGGCTTAAACAACGATAAATTACGCTCATGAAGCTAAAAAAAGGGGTTTATCTAATGCTAATAAACGGATAGTAATGCTTTATTATTATTCACTTATTTCTTACATTGTAGTTGTTGGTCAATCTGGCCATCAATTAAAATGAAATTTACATAAGATAACGACTAGGTAAATGCTGACGGATTAGAAATTATCGTTTTAGTTAGATATTTTAAGCCATATCAGATTGAAGGAATAGTATTATTTTTTTTTGTTTCTTTTGAGATACGTTCACGGAAATAATGGTTTTCATTTGTCACGTTCTAATTCGCATGACCACCAGTACAGACAAAATTTGATGAAGAACTTCAAATAGGACTTCTTTTGCTTAACCGGCTTTTCGGACGCGGTTGCGAGTCTGATAGTATCTCGTTACGCACTGACATTTACCAAATAGATCTCAAAATTATTATAGTAGATTATATTGATATAATATGCAAGTTTTTGGAGTCAAAATCATAATAACCTATTTAAGTAACGGTCCCATCATCTAATATGTGCCCCAAAATGAGACAGTAAATAATATACGTATTCTAGGACTATATTCATAGCTCGTTTGGAAAATTTAATGTAACAAAAGTTGCCGGATTTCAATCACGAACATCCAATATTAATCACTAAAATTAGGAAAAAATCCGTTAAAACAAAAAAAATCTGATTTCAGCTCTTCTCTCTTGCATGCTACATAAATGCGTATAGTACTAAGAATTCTGTTTACTTTTTGCTATCCAGTTCTCGTTTATCTTCTCTCTCTCTCTCTGGAAATATGAAACAATAAAAGATATATAGCCCAAATCAATGACCTATGCTCATGAACTATGAGTATTACTTTATCAACAACAAGAGAAAACAATCAGTTGGTCAAGACCTATCCGAAATATATAGTTCCTATTAACAAAATTCACCGTACATCCTACAGGTAGTAATCATTTATTTTAAAAACTTAGAATCCTTTCAAGACCAGTTATTTATTTGAATATAGTTTCATCACATATAATACTTGATAATTATTGTTAGTAGAAAAAGCATAAGATCATTCTGTATACCATGCACAGCTTTCTTCATATCACCTCAATCAAAAACTTCATTGGCTCGAAGTTCATCTACCCCATTCTCGGAACGATGTTTACACATAAGAACAGGGTGGATGTGGTTTTCGCGAAAAAGTTCCACTAATGTATTAAATTTGAAAAATCGTGAAACTTTTCCATTTGTGTGAATATGAACCTAGAGTTTGATCTTCAGATCTCAACTTTTTATTGAGTTTATCGAGGTTCAAATCGTTTTTTCGATGGCTCGGTATCATTAAAAACTTCTATTAAACGTTCTATTATTCATTTCAAATTAAAAGAAGGGTGAGTATATTTTGAATAACTTCTGATATAAACTAGATAGAGAGATGCGGTTTTCACCGTTTGAAAGAGAAAAGCAAACCGCATCGAATCTTGAATATCAGTATTTTTCTGACAAGTTTTTTCAGTGCTACCCGTTAAATTTTTGAAGCAGAAAACATTTTGTCTTGTGAAAATTTTGGAATTGCAAGTATGAGTTGTGAACCAAAATCGACGACTAAAGTTCAGTAATCTATATAAGTCCGGCATTAAAATGTTAAGCTAGTCAAAAGTGATTCATAATTTAATACGCGTTTTCGGCAGATTTTCCATCAAAAATTCACTTTTTTCAAAGTTTTTGACGAAAAATTGACGTTTTGAACATGTTAAAAAGCCTCCTTTTTTAAAAAACTTGGCGGATGTCCCTGAGAAAACTTGTCAGAGAAATCTGATATTCAAGGTTCGATGCAGTTTTCTTTCCTCTTTCCAACGATGAAAACCTCAATTTTCTAGCTAGTTTCGATGAGAAGCTATTCAAAAAATACTCACCCTTCTTTTAATTTGAAACGGATAATAGAATTTGC